CTATGACACTTCTGTTATCACAAAAACTGTGGCAGTTATGATAGGGATTCTGATTTTATTTGTAATCATTTGATTTTCTGTAGGCTTGGTATCAGATACATTTAGTCTTATGCAAGTAACATCATCAGTACATATTTTATTGTACAAATGGCACTGATTCCTGTCATGCAGGAACAGTGGTTTAAATCATAACTATGAACTGAAAGTGGCGAAAAAAAATGTGAAGATAACAAACATATGACCTCAAATCATACAAATATATGATTCCCTTATAAAACTGCAATTCTTGTGAGTTAAAAAAAATTCTTGGACTGCAGCAAAAATTACACTCTGGTAACCCAAGGACACTGGCATTTCTTGTAATCTGGATGCATGTAATGTACAGATCACAGCAAAATAAATTAGCCAGGGTAGGGGTGGATGACTGGGGTCTGATTCTATACACATCCAAATTGACTCCAGGACACTCAGCAGCTCTGTATCCATGATTTGAACATGAACCTACCCACTCACAACCAACTAGTGACAAAATCTATAATGTGTGGCACACTGCATTCATGCCCCCTCTACGCATTCATAATACGGCGTTTAGGCACCAGGACAACTTAAAATCATTCAACATTCCAAATGCTATAAAGGCAGCAAGGTGTATTAACATGGTGGTAATGGTACGGATGGTATGTGCTTTTAGTTGCATGAAACTAATTTGTTTACATTAATGACACCATGATGAATATAAATTACTTTCAATATCTCCAACTAACAAAAATATATAAAATTAACATTACAAAACAGATTTTCCAGCTGTATTCAATACAAATAAATAAATTAAGATAAAAACAATTTTACCTAGTGCCTTTATTAAATTTGTAATAATTTCTAGAAAGACAATAACTTGAAGTAAATTTATCTTTGATAAAAGTGAGGTATAATTAGTTTCAAATACATTCAGGAAGCAATATTTCAGCTAAACAGATTTTGTTAAGGAGCTAGCTTTTGTTGCTAGTAGTAGATGAATAGCCCCACAGACATGTAAACATTATCTGAATATTTAGCAAAATAAATCAGTAAAATATTTAACAGTGGACTGATGGGATGTTAGCAGCATTAAGATATCTTTCAGAAATAAGCCATCAACATAACAATTAGGCCCTTTTGCCAAAGCAGAGTTCATGTTTTTTTTATATTTCATCTGACTAATTTAAACTTCGTTTCATGTTTTGTTATTAAATATTAAGACTCAATAAACAAAGATCATCAGGGACTTTTGCAGTAAAATATGTAGCAGTACAGTGCAGACCTTCATTTAAGTGTCATCTGGGGGCATGCAAAGGCACCCAGCAGCAGGGGTTAGGTCTTTAGACTGGTTTCCCATTGGAAGATTCATGGAATCACCCGTATTGCATGTGTGTGTTGTTTCTTTTTAAAAAGGGGATGTTTAGGGGTGAGGATGACTAAAGACCACAGCATTAGAGGAAAAGAGATTCTTTACAAGTTCAAATGAGAAGGAAACTTGGCTACAATGTTAATACAGCTTGGGGGGGGGGGCTGTGATTACCGCATAACTTACAAATATGATCGTAATTCATTTGTGCAGTAAACAATGTAATCTACCGAATGTGAATGAAGTTTCTGCTTCCTTAGATTTTTTTGTCTTCAGGTACGAATTCCATTACTCACACGATGATATTCTTGAGTCAGGAGCAAATGTTCATAGTACAATTTGAATCATTCATATGAAAGTGCATTTGGAGGTTCATTTGTGAATTCTAACATGCATGAGCAACCATAATACAGCTAATGGTACCTGCACCTTGTCGTGGTGGTGGGGCTTGAGTACCTCAGTGACCCCAAGAGCTATGCTGGCGGTAGCATAGCTACTGGTAGGGCCTCCCTAGCCAGATTGGTCGAGGGGGAGAGGTCAGACTAAGACAGGTACCCTGGTCCTCCAGGTTGGGGGTTGGTCGCAAGGCTAACAACCTTGCACCGTAGAAAGGAAGATGTTTCGAAACCTCGATCAAAGCCTCGGACAGACGGACCTAACAGAGGACTGAATGGAAGAGGAGAATTGAGGAGGCCATGGACCGAATATGGACCGGAGAGCCATAGAAGAAGAAGGAGATGAGCAACCACGAAGTCGTGTGGTTTTACTTTAGTGATCTGTCAATACACAAAATGTATAAATGTGGACCAATAAACATCCTCATGCCATTACAGAGTATAAAAGTTTGGGCGTGGTTCACTCAGGTGACCTCCTATACTTCACAATCTTAGTTACTGTGTTTTTATCTGTGAAAGAATCTGAAGGGGAAAAGTGTGTAAGATTAACCCATGACCACTGAAGTTCTCCAGAATAAAGTTACGTTGGTTCATTCCCCAGGCAAGTAACTCAGAATGTGTCAGAGAACCTGCTTAAATGCAAAGAAATCATTTTCAGCAGTTCATACGTAACACAATAAGTTTGTGTCACCTTTTACAGTAATCATTTAACAAGTACTGTGTTAAGTGGAGACTCATTTGAAAGTTAATGTTCCTTGTGGGGAAAGAACTGTGTCCTATTGCAAAACAGCAAGTTTCTGTCTTAGTTTGAACACAATTTGTGATATAATTATTAGAAGGAAGGAAAGTTTATGGTTTGGCTTAAAAGGAGAAGATGCAGAGGCTATAAACCTACCGGAAACCAGACTTTCTCTGACATAATTTATATATACATTTCAGGAAAGTTTACTGTATACATTAAAAGACGTGGCCCTTTAGTTTATTTTACGCTACACTGACAGAAGTAAACAGAAGGGTATTAATTGAAGTTACCCCCAATATGACAAGGTCTGCACTATGTCTCTG